CTTCTCTTCTTCTCCTCTCCTGCCCCTGACCTCCCACCAGCCCCCTCATGCAGCCCGAACCCCGTGGTGAGATCTCCACCGCTGTGACCAGCTTCTTCGCAGGTCCAGAGCCTGGAGCTTCCCCGGCCCCACTCCACATTTCTTTTTGCCTCTTCCCAGACGCCAGTGATGCTGAAAGCGGTATCGCTCAGGTATCCTCAAGGGTCTGGCACAATGAGGGACCAAATACTGCAGTTATTTCTCAGGTATTTCATACACAGGTCACCATAACTTAACAGGCACTTCTCAAGAGTAAAGGCTCTCCAGACTGACCGTCTGTGGGTCCATCTCCCAGTGCTGCTTCATCCAATGTGGGCACAAAAATCCCCCCCAACAACCCGTGCAATCCCACAGCAGGCAGTGGGTTTCCAGACAGCTAGCAAGTGTGTGCACATGATGTCTGGAACACAAATGGCTGCTTAGCATGTCCCTGTCCCCATTAACACCGCTCCGACTGCTCCTTGAGACCCACCTCCACCCCCATGTGCCATGAGGGCAAGCAAGCTGTAGCCCCTCTGCCTGCGTGCAGAGGCTGTTTCGAGGACCTGCCGGGAGCGCGGCTGGGGAAGGTGGGGTGCGGGGCAGCATGTAGGGCTGCGAAGCTCTGCCAGGTCTCAGGGGAACGTGGCCGTGGGGCAGGGCAAGCAGACTGCGGGGCCGTGCTGGAGGTGATGGGGCACGGCCCAGCCTGTGCAGGACGTGCGGTGAAAAGCAGTGGGAGCCGTTTCTGGGGTAAATACTTTACATTTTCATTTCCACTTCTCCAAAAAGTTAAGGTTTCCAGATATTTAAGCCAATACAAAACTTCTTTTTACTGTAGTAGTAGCCTATGCCACTAGAATAAATGTTGCCCATAGCTTTGCTGCCTGAGACCGATTTCCCCGTTGGCTTGTCATGCCTTGCTGCTGCTTACTGCAGCTCCCTACCAAATAAAAATATACTACAACAATAATAACAACAACAACAGTATGACAGCAACAAAACCCGTGGTAGTAACAATGTGTATGCTTTGTATTCAAGGCCATGCTTGTTTCTTGGCTAATGCATATCTAATAATTGCTGTTTTCAGTGGCCACTAAAATGTTAAAAAAATAATTAGGGACAGTTACTGAAGGGCCGGGGGAGGGAACCTCCACCCCTTCTCTGCCTCATTAGCACAGAGCCCAGCTCATGCCTTCCCTGTCCCATACCAGGCCTGTGCCATCCCCTTCCCAAGTCACCCCACCAATTAATCTAAGCTCACTTCAGACAGAGAAGGTCTCTCCTAAAGAAGCCTCTCCCCCTGTTACTAGGGGGGCCTCCTCATTTGTTTGAAACCGAAGCTTATAGTCCTTCCTTATAAGCAATTATCCTGCACTTCCTAGAAGGCACAATCTATGTTATTTGTATAAAGAAACAAGTGTCTCAGAGCACAGATCTGATTTGCAGTCTCCCGTGAGTGACAGTGGCTTGGAGAAACTCATCCACATAATTTGTGATGGGGTTGCCGAAGGTAGCAAGCGTATGAAGAAATAATGAGCAAAAATAAAACCTATCTTCTTATTACTATCACGTGACTAATCCTTTAGAGTGTGGGTCACCGACCAGCGCATGCAACATATGGGAGGCAGCAGAAGGCAAGGAGGATGCTTATTAAACTAGAAAGTTTCATGGTAATCGTACGAGAACTTAAGACATAATTAAAAGAGCAAATCCATATGTGAGTTCACTGAGAAAATGTTTTTTTAAAATGTAGTTTTGCAAAGCTAGGTTTATAACAGGCACAAATCAAGTAGGCAAAGATATGTATGTAAATCACGCCATCGTTAAGTTACAAAACTAGAGTAAGCAAAAATGTCTTCTGCAAAGGCTTTTATCTGGCCACGTACACCGCGCAGCATGAAGGGGCCCTGATGCTGCGGAGAGGCTCGCGAGTCTTTACAAGGGCTGAAACTCCAACCACCGCGTGCCCCAGCACTGATGCGCCGGACCCCGGCAGCTGCCCCGGAGGGGCTGGGATCGGCCGTGCAGGGCACGGGGTGGTTTCCACCGCCCGCGGCGCAGGACCTGAGCTGCCTCCCGGGAAGAGGAACCGTCCTTGGGCAAGCTGCAACACCTCGCTGGCTTCAAACTTGTGCAACGCCTGCCCTTGCAAAGGGTTGGGAGGCTTAATTGCCCATGAGGCGGTTTGAGAACTGATGCAGAAATGCAGAGTATGTGAGGTTACCGGTCAATTATATCAGCTGTTTTATCTATTTTTATATAAAGCAGCAAGAGAGAAAAGGAGAAGAAATTTTATGTACTGTTACACATGCCAACATTGCTGGCCACTAACGGCACAGAAATAGAAGAGCAGTGCTAAAAATCTTGGTTGTATCAGAATCCACGAGGCTTCTTCATCAACGTTCATGGGTTCAAGTGTCCACCAGATCACTGTGTTGACTGAAAGCCATGACTGAACCACGGAATAAGTGTTTTGCTGGAATAAATCTTACACTATATTGCTGTCAGAACTGTATGTCTTCTAAAAGACTCAAACCTGTTCATTTGTATGAAAAAATATATACTCTCAGACTGTAGTCTTGCCGCTTCACTTGCTCTTCATCCAGGGGGAAATCCCCACCCACCAGGATGTATCTCCATCCTCCTGGCCTCGCTGGCCTTCCCGCTCCCCCTCGCAGCTGTCCCTAATTGCGAAGCCCCCTGCACAACCCAGCAAAGAGCTTGCCCTAGGGTCACATCTCTCTTGGCTGTGACCTCCTGCACTGCAAACCCTGATGGACCTGCCCCCTCCGCACCCACACTGGCATTTCTCAGTGAGTCAATGCCAAGTCCAGAGCCACACGCCGGTGCAGCAAGAGTCTCCTGGTGATTTTTTTCCCCGCTGAATTTGTCCAGCTCAGAGCTTTCACTGAAAACTCTCAGGCTTTCCTGCGGGCTTGTCTGCAAAGATACATGCCTCTTTTCAAAGAAAACGAATGTCCACAATGGCTCGTTCTACACACTTTTTTGGAAGGCTTTTCCTAAGCATGGAGGATTTAGCCTTGTGAACCCGTGAGAGGAATTCATTATACCAATTCATTATACTGCGTCCAGCAACACGCACATGCACCTATTCCTAAAAAAATGTTCTTTAGGCAGCAACGTGACTCATAACTTTGCCAAAGCTGAAGTTGGGTTGCAATTTCACAGACACCTCACTGGGGCCGAGAGAACACGATTACTAAATTCGGGCTTGAAGTGAGATCCAAAGATTCCCAAAACTCAAAGGAGTTTAGCCCTGGATGTTTGGTTTTCACCCATCGCCATGCCCATGTGCTTGGCCACTTAGACATTCCCGGTGATCTTCGGCACCGTTTGGCCAAGGCCTAGGTCCCACCTTTGGGGACTGGTTGTGGCAGCCCAGAAGTGAGCCCTGGTGAGGCACCAGTGGTGAAGGAGTGCACACCACCCACCGCCCGCACCGGCAGCCGGCGTGGTCCCCGCTGCGGGGACAGAAGCTATGGCAGGGCTGCAACCAGAGAGTCCCAAAAACCCAGGCTTCTTTAGCAAGACTTCATCCAGTCTTGGGGTGAGAAGGAAAGAACAGAAGAAGCTGGAACAAAGGACTAAGTGGCAGAAGAGTCTGGCAGGAGCTAAAGGGAACAAGAGAATGGAAACGAAAGAAAAATGAGGGAAGTACAGAGGTTTGGGAATTTTTTCAAAGAAGAAAATGAGAGAAAAAGAAATTAGATGAAAAGGGTAAAAATAAGAAGAATGAATGAAGAGGAGAAAGAAGACAGGAAGGGGGAGCGGTATGGGAAAAGGCAGAGAGTAAGTAGGAAAAAACACACCGTTGATGTACTTTCTGTTTTATCACACTTCCTCAAGTGAAGACGGGAGCCGAGGAAAGGAAGGGTCCACATGCGCTCCCAAGACGGTGGCGGGGGATAGTCAGTACCTCTTCTCGGAAAGGGAGGAGCCCGCTGGCGCTTTTATTTTTCCCATTACGCCTCAGGAGAGCAGGGTTTACAGTCGCTAGGAAGGCTGGAGAGGGAACGGGCCGCTTTCAC